AATATAGCGGTTTGAGTGTGTGAAAAAGTTAGGTTATGGATAACAGAAACAATTTATTTAAAATCTTTACAGGATTCAGCCTGCCCAGGTCGCATCCTCAGTTTATAGGAGCCTGGTGGTTAGGCTTTGTCATCATCGCTGGCTTGTCTTTACTCTCAGCACCCTCTATGGCTTTGTTTCCCCGCCACATGCCTAGCAGGAAGCACACTGACAAAGAAGATGGAACGGCGAAAGAGAAATCTTTCGCAAAACTAGTTAAAGGTTTTTTTTAGGGTTTTAAGATTTTACTTGTTTTAATTAAAATTAATTTTGTCTATTTCTTTGAAATAGGTTTTCCTTGGCACAATTTACAGAGAGAAAAAAAGGACATTAAACATTGCTTTTACTTATTAAAATCTTGTTTTCTCAACGACTAGTTTTATCTATGGAGTACATGTACGTCCATCAGAACTTAGTACATGCACCTGCTATATATAAGTTTCCATGTAGAATATAAAGGAAACCAGCTTTTAAGACGAAAAAATGGAAGTCTTTGTTCTAGCATGTTGTCTACAACAATTTGTGACACTACCTAGCTCGATATACATATATATTCAATTTTTAATTTATCATTTTTTTTTGTATAGAATTTCCCCGCTCTGTCAAGCGACTGTTCACAACGCCGCCATTTTTGTGTGTGACTCTTGGGATATGCTGTGAATTGTGGATGGTTGGAGGGTATATGATATTTCTACCAAAGTATCTGGAGACGCAGTTCAAGGCACCGGCGTTCCTAGCCACTCTGATAACAGGTAGAACAGACGAGTTCGAAATGATTTTTTTACACGTGTACATTGTACAGGAGTGAAACCCGATAATCATAATAAAATATACATGATAATATAAACATTTAAACAATGTTTAAATAAGATATAATTAAAAACTAATAGAAAGAAAGAAATTATATTGGTGCCCTCAACAATTTTGTAAAATGTACTACAGGTGCAAACATACAAAGCCTTATGCTCAATACAATGTCTAAAATAGCCTACGTATAAGCCAACAAAAAATTTTACAAAAGTAAATATATACAATAAATATATGTACAGTGTAGGCCTACTGGTCTAAACTCTACCGTATGTGTATATGGATCTTAATAACTAAACTCACTATTTCAGCTTTTGTGGCAGCAGTTGCCAGCGTTCTTGGAATCCTCCTTGGTGGGTTCCTGGGGTCAAAGTTCAAGTTTCACTCCCTCCAACATGCCCGGATGTTACTGTTTTGTAGCGTGGTCAGCACGCTGTTGTTTGTGGCTCTCTTCTTCCTGGGCTGTCCCTCGCTGGACATTAAGGGCCTGGAGGGGTGAGTTTAGGGGATGGAGGGTTGTGTTAAGGGTTGGAGGGTGGGTTAAGGGGATGAAAGGGTGAGACAAGGGGATGGTGGAGTGGATTAAGGGGTTGGAAGGGTGAGATAAGAGGGTGAGTTAAGGGGATGGCGGGGTGAGTTAAAGGGCTGAAGGATTGAGTATAGGGGCTGGAGGGGTGTGTTAAAAGGTTGGGGTGAGTTTAGGAGATGGAGGGGTGAGTTAAGGGGCCGAACGCCACCTATTTATCTGCATGCTACGCTGGTTGTGCTGCGGCAGATAAGAAGGTATAATCACATTGGGTTTGACAAATTGTAGTTTTTCATTTTTTATAAAACACATACCTATTGCGCATTAATTATGATATATCACGATCATGCAACCCAGTTTCACCATCGTGCTTGCATCAAAGTACATAAACTCAGCAGTCGGGTTACACTTAATACTACTAAATAAATAAAGTAAGCCTAAATTTCCTATAGGCTATCACGAAAAAGGCGTTGTCTTCTATATAAGTAGGTACTTATCACCATCACTAAAATAATGCAGTCTGGTCAAATAATGTGCGTCTAGATATCACTTGTACTCGTGTTCATGTTACTATATAGACCTACATGTGCAAGAAACGAAAATACCATTTAGAATGTATGAATATTAGAAGCAGATTATTTGGTGGAAACACCAGTGTTAACTTCTTTCTGAAACAGGACGACAGCACAGTGTTTAAGGACTGCAGCTGCGTCTCTGGTACCAATCAGACGGCTGTCCTTGGCGGCTGTGACACAGGGTGTAATATGCTGTGGCAGTTCTCCGGGGTCGTGTTCGTGTTTGCCTTCATTGCTGCTATGAGTAGTCCGTCAGCTATTGTTATTACTCTAAGGTCAGTTGGCAAGGCTTGTCTGGCCCTGTTGACATAAATGTTTCTCTCTCTCTCTCCCTCTCTCTCTCTCTCTCTCTCTCTCACACACACACACACACACACACGCTGTCCATATATTTTTAAAACCCTTAGACGGTAATACGTTATATTTATGTTTCAAAGCGTGAACGAAAAATTTGGGATGCGTATCGTATCGTATCGTATCAGCAAGTGAACACTTGTTATACATGTACATTTAAGGTGAAGGATTTATTCACGATATGGATTATTCCACGAGGGAAATAAATCATACTGATTTTGGCAGGAGATTCCATTTCTTCTGTTGGTTGTACCGAAAATAAAATAAAAATAACATACACTATATGCTGAACGAATAAAACATTATTTCTTAAAGGTCAGTACCAAAGGATTTCAGAGCGTTTGCTTATGGAATGAACGAGGCTATTGAGGGCGTGCTGGGTACGTATGTGCGTAAAATGCGTCAAATTTTTCCGTTTTTCTTTTGTGCGTCATCATTATGGGCGCATTCAAAACAGCGAACTAACAGATCCGCGGATCAAATATGGCTGTCCCACTTGAAAGCTTGTTACGTTATCCCCGCGGGAAATCAATTCAGTGTCTAATCGGAAATTAAGCGACAAGCTTTAAGGTGGGCCACGTTTTTGATCCATGTACATTTCATGCTTCTAGTTTGTGTCATTTTACACTTCGTTGACGTTTCTCTATTTTAAAATGATGTACCATCCACCGCGACTATTACAAAATGAAATACCAAAAATACCACCAACAGTTTCATGTTGTAAAAGTCAAACATTTTGTCATTCTGCAGTCTGTAATGAGAATTATAACTGTTATCATCCAAAATATTTTATATTTACTTGACCTAGGCAACATCCCGGCTGCCGTATTGTATGGTTACGTCATCGATGGCACGTGCACACTGTGGAAGACCTCTGAGTGTACCGGTGAAAAGGAAAACTGTCTGCTCTACGATAACACAAACTACCGGTTACATTTCCACGGTCTCACCCTGGGCATCAAGGCTCTAGGTGCTCTCATTTACTTCCTTCTTTGGTGGAAGAGTCACGGCCAATGGACGTATTACTGGGACGATGATGATGAGAAGGCAGATAACGAAAGTGAAAGTGGTGAAAGTAAGATAGACTTGGAAATGCAGACTGTGCGCTTTTAAGAATGTATATTATGTAATGCACTGCAGGTGGCGGGAGAAAAACTTACCTATAATGACAATAATTATTTAAATGCTTGAAACATACGTCCTATTTATGATTATTATTTTTTTTTTTTTGTAAGTAGATTGATTTTTTATGTTTGATTGAGACCGTGCTAAATTGTGGTCTCAAGCACTTTATATTTGCACATGTGAAATGAGCAAAGTGATATTGTATTATGCCTTTGCTATATTTTATTGGCGTATTTGTATAAAATATATGTGCTGATGATCAGCTTGCGCTTACTACATGTAGATATTGGCTAGACGGCTGTATTAATACGCGTTGTGTTTTATGCTTTAATTTTGTATATGTGTAGCTTTTCTGTTGATGTTTTGAACGTACTGAAGTGTTTACAGCGTACAGAGTTGATTTTTTAAGGAAGAGATTGAAAACCATTACAATGTATTGATTGCCTCTTTAATTAACTTGAAAGCAATATTCAGTAATAGCTATATCAAGTTAATTAATGAGACAATCAGTGCATCGTTGGTAAGCTGATTAAAAGATAGACAGCAGCATTAATTTAGCGTAAATTGCATATGACAAATTGCATTTCTTTCTTTCTTAATTTATTAATGAATTTATTTATGTATTTCTTTATTTATTGCTTATGTGTTAATGGGATTTGTCGCATATTATGTCGGATACTGGCTAATTCACGTACGTAGTAGTATTTGTGATGTTTGTAATAATATTTGCATTTCGAATTGTATAATAGATGAAATGATGTCATTATAATGTCTCAATTAAAGAGATGAGGTCCGTAGGCTTGGCGGGCGCACACTTTGTGTATAAGCTGAGTCATTGTGCTTCTGGCGCGGGCAGTTCAGCTTTTAGACCCCATACTGGATTTCAACCGAGAGCTAATTTAATTCCGTACAAAATGCTTGTTGGGCATAAGAAGAAAAAAAAACGTCTGAAATTAACCAGAGACATGTGTAAATATGTAGGGAAAATTAACAAATGGTCCTACATTATAGTTGAGGGTAAGTACTTAGTACTTGATAAACAGCGCTCCGAACAAGTATGTCATATTAATGCACCTACATGAGTGGCTCAGATTGTAGACCACAATACATACCTGTGTGACAGGAATAGTAGTCCACTAGGAACAGTAGTCCGTTCCCCATTACTTTTTACAGGTTACTTTCGTCCCATATACTACAGGTAACTCCAATACTCCGACCAACCCTAATCTGTGCTAACCATATAGGATCCAGGATATTCGTTCTTATGACTACTTTCCTGTCACGCAGGTCTTAGAACTTAAAGATGGTGGTCTGGGACTTGAGAGGATCCTATTGTAAATAACCATTACTTATTTTACAGAAACCCCCCTTATCTCATCGGACTCGGAAATTACACCAGATACGAAAATGTGATCTAAGTAGGTATGCTGATGTATTTGGAGTGTCCGGGCAATTTGTCCAGAAGAAGTCTAATGTGGCCGAAAATGAGGCAGATTTGAAATGAAAAAGATCGATATACAGACAACAGTATAAGTATTTTGGTGTATGAGGCATCCGGCTTAGTTAATTCTCATTTGAACATATTCTTGTAGGTTTTACATGTACAGAGTTTTGGTAGAAATAAAGACACTTACGTTTTTGTAGTGTTTATGTGTTGTTTTTAAGTTATACCATCGCTATCACGTTGCATCAGAAGAAACCGTGTATTTGAAAACCTCGTAAATGGAACTATTGTTTTATACTTTTGTAACAAACTTTGAGGAACGGATTCTTTGGCACTCATGAGCATTGCCCAACTGGAATATTAACATTGCTTCATTTCCCTTTCAAAGGCGTTAATGCAGAGTCTCTTGTAACTAAACAGTCACATAGTTGGCACACTCACATTTCACATTTCAGCTTTTCATTATCTGATTCTACCTGTATGTTTGAAGAACATCAAATTATTCCAAATTTGATGAATTAAAAAAAATCTGAAATCTGTTCGCTGTTACCTGTTCTCTGGAGTCTAACAATGACGTCAAATCTCCTCTGATGAAGTCTTAGGCCGCACTTAGAGCAGTGGACTTACTAGTCCGAGGGTCAAATATGGCCGACCCACTTGAACACTTCCCCACGAGGAATCTATTCAGTGTCTATTAGCAGATAAGACGGCAAGCTTTTTAGTGGGTCGCCATATTTGACCTGCGGATCAGTGAGTCCACTGTTCTGAATGCGGCCTATTATGTGTGTGTTTACAAGTGAGTGATACTAAAGACCTGGTTAGAGACACTTTGCAGGGAAACCTACCATAATGAGTAAAGAAATAGATAAAGATGTAAGACAACGGGTTTTTTTTAGTGTACAAAAAATGAATTATTGTTATTTGGATTAAATTGCACAAAAACTTCCAGCATGTATCACTAGAAATTGTATGTTTTGTTTGACGGCAAGTAGTCTAAAGTAGCTTTTGTAGGAGGGAAAACTCCGGTAGCATATCAGTACCAGTATAAGATTTCCAGTAAATCTGTTTTAGCGCACTGCACTGTAGCACGCTATTTACAATGATACTTGCTGTTTCTGAAGTTGGACATATATTTCCCCCTGACGTAAAATAGCAATGTGCACTTATTTTCATTAAAAACCCGCGTGTTTTTAGCAAATCCATATGGCAAAAATTCTCGATAACGACCGTAGCGTCCACGAGAAATCACGTTAATCACGCAGAAAAATTGTCACGCTGCTTATAAACAATGAGGATTAGAAGCAAGGGCAGCGTGACAGGAATGGAAGTCCGCAAGGGACCGCAGTCCGTTACCCATTACTTTGTACAGGTGACATTCGTCCCTGAACTAACCCCCAATACTCCCAATGCTGCTGGTTACTATTTTTCTGCCTAATTTAATTGTTTTTTGTCTTTTTTGTTCGGTTGTGCATTCTTTATTATTCCTGCATGACATGCGTTTACCCTCTCATTCAGAACTGTTGCTTGGTAACGAATCTCACCACGCAGGACGGATGTACGAAGGATAATTGGTGCATTAAACGCATAAAATAAATCGTGATGAACTTTCACTTACCTGTTAAAAACCGCGGCGAGAGTTTAAAGCAGGTCTTGTTGACCAGCAAAGGTCTGATGTGTGAGATCCGTTTGTGATCAAAAAATAGTTGTAAAAAGTGCAATCACGATAAAAATTCAATAAAAACATTAAAGGAATAAGTAAAGGGAAAGTAGTTTCAATTTAAATGCATATATTACATTTTCTTGACACAAAAACGCTATCACGTTTATATACAAAGGTAGTAAGAACAAATTCTCATCAATGTCAGGTGTCGGTTCACTACGTTTTATAATGTATGCCTGAATATCAAAAGGTAAAAGTTTTCCCTCCGTTTTCATTTTAAGAACTTTATGGCTCCTTTTTTGAAGTTCTGCTCGACATTCTACCTCGAAGTCTTTTACAGTGAACTTGGAACGTTTTCCAAGGCGTTATACTTAATTCTATCTACTATGCGTAACTCCGATATGCCGTGTCTACCTATCAGTGATTAACGTTTGACTCCCGTAGCCTTAAGGGCTTCCGTGAGATTAATAGATTTTTGTTTTCTTGTATATTCAAGTACCTTTCGGTAGCGATCATGTACTAAGCTCAAATTTCTAAGTGTATCTGGCTTCGTCCTCGTTGGAGTAGGTTCATATGGTATTTTTAGCATTAAGTGTCTTCTGCTAGCTGGAATTTTATGGTTAGTTTTATAGCATTGTTGACACAGACGGTTGAGATTTCTGTCACAATCCAAGCAAATTGAATATGCTGCCCTGTCACAACTGTGGCATTTATAGTGTAAGCCTTCCGCGTGGTCAGAGTCGTCACCTTCACTGGGTTTTTGATCTCTTTTTTCGTCGTTTCTTGGGGCGACCGTGCTACTCTCAAAATGTGAAGAATCTTATGTCGTTGTTTCGAGGTCTTCTCTCACGATTCTATTGTCACTATTCTGTCGAGTCGTTGTACCGAGGTCTACTCTTACGATACTGTTATCACTATTCTGGTCAATCATGTCACTTTAGATCGTTTCGTTGGCATTTTTCAGAGTATCTGCGGTCCTGATTTGATGTTCCATAGTGAACTGTGGCGTTGTTTCGTTGTTGTTGTTTACCAGGTTGGTTTCATCCCTGTCCTGGGAAGTGTTTTCATGTTCCACATTGGGTACACTCTTCTGGTAGTGCAGCATAACAACCCTGTAGTCAGCTTGTACTTTGCTCTACCACTTTCTGTTTGTAACAGTATTTACAATGTATGTATGGTTTAAACAAGTTATTCTGAGACGACATAAGTTGCTGTTCGCTCACACGTGTTTGATGTCATTAGGAACCTCAAACATATCTGTAAGAATTTCTTCAGTTTTCTTTCTTTTACTTGTTGAAAGCGCTCTACGGGTATCCTGCAGTGAGTTGTAATAAGCTTCTTGGTGTCTTTTTATATCACAGTCAGCACAAGATGTGAAACAACCACCTAAAACACAATCCAAGCATGCTTCTACTGCTTCATCAGGGCAGCGGTCACATTGACTATAACTCATCCTTGACGTAGAGTCGCCCAATTCACCGTCACCATCGCTCCCAGTCGCTGTACTACCCACTCCCCGTGCGTCGTCTGTGCTGACAAGGTGAAGATGTATTCTGCGGTGGTTTGCCTCATCGCCTGTGTGCACAGATACATCACAAGTGGAACAGCTTAAGCGACGTACCAAGGAGCCCAGGCATGCTATTTTGGCTTCTCCCTCACAGCTCTCCCTGAAAATTAGCCTATATCCCAACACACATATCTCTTACCCTCTACCAAGGCGACATATAGATTTTTACAGATATTCACAGATATGTCTCTATATAGATAGACGGTCATTTTGGTCGTAGACTCTGTAGATATCTGTAAAAATCAATCTGTCTCCCTGGTTAAGGGTAGGCGTACATATCTCCCGATACATACCACGGGGCTGATATCAAAATAAAAGGATTGCTTGGACCGATCTAAAAATGAAAGAGAAGGAGTGACTGCCAAGTGCGGAAGATGGGCAAGAAATCAGCCAACTACTCACAGATAACCACTGACCCATGTCTCTGTCAATACACACGCAACCACAAAACCTTCACGCAAATGAAAATGATTGGACGTTGACCGCAATTAGGCAGTTAACGCGGGGAAATACCATTATTTGATATCACCCTAAGCGCGGTGATATCAGCGTGTTCTCTTCAAAGATAGTGGGTTTGGGTGGGGAACGTCCACGATTTCCCTTTGCATGTATGACAAATAATGCACTGTTACCCCCTCGCCCTATATATACTCGTGAACAGTGCATTATTTACTACTTAGTTGAATAGTTATGTTCACCATCATCTTGTGTATAAGACACACGTTGTGACGTGGCCTGTGATCTCAGTGTTATCCTGTGGTGAATATCCGCCAGTTTACCGGGTTGGCGACCGACACTGTTTACGACATAATTTTATTGATAGTCTGTAGACGCAGTCAAGGCAGACAACATTTGTTTCCCAATGACAGTCATAACATAGTATGTCCTCGCTGCTGTCAGATGACGCACCAGAATCAAGGTCTGTGGAATCGTCGCTGAGGTCACACATTTCACCTTGACCCTGAAGAAATTATGCAAATATATATAGCCTAAGCTCTTTATTCGGCATGTGACAGGAGTAAATACTTTCGTATGGAATATTACAATTGAAACGTTAACAGTCTTTGATGGCAGTTCTATTCTTCAATTTCTTTTCAATAAATGAACTAAAGATTTCGATTTGCGCAAAACTCAACAAGGCGGCCAGTGACGTCACGTTACTATAAATAAACACGGAAATCCCCACCACATGTTATTACTGTTCTGTGCCGTCTCTGATGTTGAGCGGTAAAGGTGAACAATCGTCGATAAATTGTTCCGACCTCATGAAACTCCAGAAAAAAATTCAGTATGGTAACGAATCCTGCACGAAAATGCAGTAGTATTGAGGTAGCAAAGAAACATTACTGCAGTAGTTGTGTGGAGCATGTTTGCAGTAGTAACCCAAACCTATTCCCCAACAAAATGATTAAGTTCACGTAGTAGAGGTGAAGTAGATGGAAATGCGCTGATCATTTCAGCAATGCTTTTGCAGCAGATTTGCAGTAGCCTAGTAGTGAGATGTCCTTAATCTACAAAGTCAGAGCAGTAGAAAAGAAGCATAGTGTTTGCGGCCTCGATGTTCGCAGATTATACATGTACGTACAATCTTTTTGTCGAAAATCTATTAGACATGTAGAATGTGGGCAAAACTCCTTGCGAGTGAACTAAGATACGTTTGCAGCCTCGCTGTTTGTAGCGCTGTTTGAAAATCTTGTTGGAAAATCTTTTGTCGTCTTCTTCGTGGTAAATCTTTTATCGACTTTTCCTCAAGCAGATTTGCGGTAGTAACCTATTCCCCGCCAAAATGACTGTTCGCAGATTATACGTAAAATCTTTTCGTCGAAAAGCTTTTCAACATGCAACACGAAGGCAAAACTGCTTGCGAGTGAAGAAAGTTACGTTTGCTGTCCCGCTGTTTATAGCGCTGTTCCAAAATCTTACTGTTGGAAAATATTTTGTCGTCTTCT